ATACTTGGAACAAATTAAATGATTAAGATTGCCAACCGCCAAATTTTTATTTTTTTCTTTGATTTAAAAAAAAAAAAAAAACATGGGTCCGTCGAATATGGGCAACCCTGTATTTCGATTCAGAAGGTGATGCTGATCAAGAATATATATACTTTATGGGGTCTGAGGTGTCTCCTTCACTGCGTTGCAAACTTCTGACTGAAATTATAATACCCTTTGCTCTGCAAGAGTATAATAACATAGTAAAAACATCTGAGAAGACAATAAATTCTTTCCGGTAAAGTTTTTCGCTTGAAAAACATGGCAATGTTCTAAAAACAGGTTGTCTCGCAGCTATTTTAACAAATAACAAGGTAGCATTTTTAAAAAAGAATAAATTTCCTAGCCCATTTTTAGCAAAAGCCCCTAAAGCGCAACTTTAACAATTATAAGTTAAAATCTGGAACTTTTATAGTTATCATTAATTTACAATGATTTTGTATAAATTTATATTGAGGTCAGGTATTTTTACTATTAACAAAAAATCACGAGGAATTTAATTTAATATTCAACATCTGAGATTTTACTATATTATTTTTAAACAAGAAAAGAAGCTTATGATATACCCTTGCAGTCATCAAATACATACTAGACGTCTGCATGATTACATTCATAACATATGTAGCAGAGATGAGATAGCACTTGCAGGGAGTGCTCAGTATGCAAAAATTTGGACAGGGCATACTGGAGTCAAATCAGCCTTCCCAAAAGAAAGCTGATACCGAGGATCGAAAGAAGCAGGCGGAACTCTTCTGGTTGCCTATATTTAGCTCAGTTCGGCGTGTGGGGGTGGGCTTGCTCATTCTTTTTCCTTCGCGACTGTTTACTTACAAAAATTTTAAAATAAGAGTTCCTAATTAGACGAGACAACTGGAGCTGAACTCCGAAACAGAACAAAAGGCGAATTTGTCAATTGTGGGAGGATCAAAGATGGTAATAGATCCTACGCGCTCTCTACCCACCCAACCAATTGGATTTTCTGCGCGATTAAAAATTTTCGAAAATCCCCAAAAATATTTAATTCACATTATTTTAATTCACCAGGTCCTCAGGAAATCAAAACTAACTTTACCAATTCATTTCACTTCATTACAAATTTTATTCATTTTAAATGTCTATTACCTATCATCCTAAACTTTATTGTCTTTAACAAGCACTGTATAACAAGTTACTAATATAAAAGAAAATTAACAAAACTTAAATCCTAAGAATATAAGTATATGCAATGTAGAAATTTTAAATATATGTGGGTATGCGTAGTTTCATTTGTTCTTTCTTAATAATTTTATCTAAGTGTAAGGCATTATTCAAAATATTCTCGTATTTATTATCAAGGTGTGTGATTAGTAAAGGTGGTGATATAGATTGATTTTAATATGTTTGTGGTTTTATGTTCATTTTAGGGTGTGTGTTTCTGTTTATTTTAATGTGGGCCAGTATTCCTAAAATTTTTTTATTTATTTATTTCATTTTAGGTTATTTAATTTTTTTTTTTTTTTATTGTTGCTTATTTATTTAAATTTAGGTTTACAAATTCTATAATAAAATTTTTTTTTCTACTCGATCATTTTTTCCAGTGTATTAAGTTAAGTTTTAATTTCAATATATTATTTTTAAAAATGGCAAAGATAATTATAAATTTTTTTAAATGGCACAAGGAAATATGTTGCTGGAAAAGAACGGGGTTAATAATATGTAATAGAATGCGGTAATATAATATATAAAAAAAAAAAAAGATAATAATTTAAAAAAATAAAAAAAAATAATAATAATAATAAAAGAAAAACTATTAATGAAAAATTAAACAAAAGTTTAAACAGTAAGGAAAAAGTAAAAGTTTTAATTTGCAGTGACTGCGAAACTTTTGAAACCACCCTCGCTAGTAAAGCTCATTATCTTTATTAAGTTGGCTTTACATATCGAGCTTTGGCAGTAACGCAACACTGAGAAAAATGAAGTGAGCTCAAATCAAAAAAAATAATGCAAATAATAATTTAAATGAAAATAAGTTTTAACCAATGACGAAAATAACCAAATAAAAAAAAGAAATCATAATAATTGAAAATATAATAATGAAAGAAACTTACTTAATTAATTCCGGTGGCGAAAGATCTTTGGCGACGGTCGGCTGGAACAAAACTTTCTTGCTCCATTTTTTCTCACTTTTTGGTTTCCTTCTTTTCTTTTTTTTTTTTTTTTAAAGATTAAATCGGCATGGTTATACTAAAAGTTTTTTTCTCTGTATTGGGATTTCACAAATGATAATTTTGAATACACTTTAATAATATCTCAACCGATTCTTTTTTTTTCTTTTCCGCAACATTTTTTCCTTCACAATTTGGCCATTTTTAATTAATTTTTAATTTTTGTTTTATACTATTATTAAGGTTCTATTTATTTATTTAATTATTTCTATATATATATATATTTTAAATTTTTTTTTTTTTTTTTTAACAGAAGGAAAAAAAAAAAGATAGATTTTAAATAACTCTAATTTATTTTTTTAGCGTAATCATTTTTTTTTTCTTTTAATTTGTATGTGACTGTTTATCTTATTTTTTCCAGTGTGTCGGGAACCACAAAAAAAATAAAAAAACTTAATTTTCGTTTCTTTCTTGACTTCAGAACAGCTTTCTAGATATATACATGGATATATTAAAATTTTTCGTTTTGCACATTATTCTTTTCCTTTATTTTTCACTTTATATATTATTTGTTTCACTGTAATTGTTTTTTTTTTTTTTTTTTTTTTTTTCAGGCTGCACGTGTTAGGTTAATTTTTGGTGGGGAATTTTAGTCATAATTTAAGCACTATTTTTAAGCCTGGTTTTTCTTGGCTAATTTAATTTCCACTTTCCACTTTTACTAAATTTTCCGCTGGCTACTGACTTTTCCCAGGACGGCCTTAACCTCTCCATACAAAAAATTTGTCCATCTGCCACAAAAAATTCCGCTGCCAAGCCCTGGATTGGTTTTTTTAAATCGAAGAGAAAATTAGGACTAGGAACACTTGAGGCGACGAATATATTTTTATATTTACCCTGGATGGACCTGGCACGTGGCAGTAGTTTTTCCTTTTTTCTTTTTGCTCACTAGCAAAACCAAAAATAAACCAGCAAATAATCTCCTCCTCTGCAGTTTCCTCAGCTTTGAGCTTTAAGCTTTATCTAAATTATGTTTTTGGTTAGCGATCGAAGGGTTCTCAAGACAAACAAAAAAAACTTACAAGTTGCTGCTGTTGGTAGTCACCTTTGGTTTTCTTCTTAAACTGAGACGTCTGGTCTCGTTGGCTGCCAATTGGAAAAGACTTGGCTTGGAGCCGTAAGAGTGTAGGTGGGCCGAAGCCGGAAATAAGCCTCTCTCTCGAAGGAAAAATGACAGTGACACTGACACTGACAGACGATTTGTCAAAAGGGACAGCTGATCCTTAGGTTGCCAGTCGGTCGTAGTAACGTTTCGAACCTAGATGGCGCCACCCGATCTTAACAGAATATTTATGCAAAATCTCAAACTGCGAATAATAAACCCAAAAAAAAACAACTGCATACTTTGCGGATGGGAGCTCTTTATGATTTCCAGCTGCATTTGTTTTCTCAGAACAAGAGAACAAATACCAAAGCCTCTTTTATCGCATGCGACCTTTTCGTCGCCAGAGCTGCGATAAAAGTAACTTAACCTCTCATGTGATTTCGAATGGTGCCTTTAAGGCGACCATTACATCCACCCGAGAATCTGCAACTCTTAGGCAGAAGATTTGAGGGAATTATTGGCGTATATCTTTCGCGTGGAAAGTTCCAATTTCTTTGCCTGCCAAATCCTCTAGCAAATAGAAACAATTTCCAAGTTTTTTCTTTACACGACATTTTAAGAATTGAGGGGCAAGTTTAGCATTGTAGTTTTGAGAAAACTTGCTAAGTGAAAAATTTCGACGGAAAACCTCTTGACCTTCTTTGTACGATACTGGTTTTGAACGCAAGTTGTACTGTTTGACATTTGATTCGTAAGCCTTACGAATATTGTTTTGAATGTCTTTCCGCAACAAGGCTAAATTATCTGTTCGGTCTAACGACATCCTAGGCTCTTCTAGCAAAGTTAATTTTCTCAAAAGCTTATAATCGGATCCATGAGTTATCATATCCAATCCAAAAAGAACTTTATATGGGGAACATCCCAACGACTGATGCAATGAAGAGCGTAAGGAACATGAGATACTGGTCAAATGACGATCCCACTCTTTTTGATCATCTTCTATATACGCTCGAACGGCAGCACGCAAAGAACGATTGACTCGTTCAGCTGCGTTACTTTGCGGGGAGTATAGGGCGGTATAAACATGTGAAATTCCAAGTTCAGTCAGAAAAGCATTAAAGTCATTGGATTTGAACTGTGTGCCATTATCACTAACTATGGTCTCAGGCACTCCAAAGCTATGAAAGATTTGTGTCAGCAAAAATTCTTGTATTTTGGCAGAAGTAAACTTTTTCAACGGGTGTAGCCAATGATATTTGCTGAAGTGGTCTAAAACAATTAGCAAACCTATATTGCCATTTTTGCTACGGGGGTATGGGCCAAGCAAATCGATGTAAAGGCGTTGAAACGGTCTACAAGTGGGGCTCTGACTTCCCATTGGAGGGCGAAGAATACAATTTGGGGCTTTTGTCTGCTTACACGTATCACAATTTCTAACGTAATTTCGGACTTCAGTGGCTAAACCTGGCCAATAAAGGTGACGACGAATCTTTTCCAAAGTCTTCTGCATGCCTCCATGTGCTGAAATCACACTGTCATGAGCTTGTTTAATGACGTCAACTCTTAAACGTTCGGGAACCCAAAGTTTCCAAGACAACTTTTCCTGCTCAACCTCACCTGAAGCATGTTCAGTACGAAGATAAAGAAACTTACCTTCAGTCTTTACATCAGGGAAGCGACTAGCATTCTGACTATAATGGTCTTTTAACTTCACATAATCTAAGTCAAGAAAGGCATCTGACTCAAGGTCAATAACAGGAGCTACACTCAATTCACAAATTTCTGTATTATCATCCATAGGTATTCTTGATAGCGCGTCTGGAACAACGTTATCCTTTCCCTTTCTGTGAGAAAATACAAATTTATACTGTTGCAGTCTAAAAATCCATCGGGCGAGTCTACCAGACACATTCTGCTGGCGCATAAGCCAGAGCAAGCTTGAGTGATCAGTCACTACTTCGAACTCTTGCAATTCTAAATAGCAACGAAACTTTTCGATGGCTAAAATCACTGCCAAACATTCACGTTGCGTAACTGAGTAATTTCGTTGAGATCGACTCAGTTTCTTTGACATAAATGCAATTGGGGCTTCGACATTACCTTCAGTCATCTGTATTAATACAGCACCTACTCCAAAATCGCTTGCGTCACAGTGCAAGTAAAACTTTTTATCAAAATCAGGGTTGTGTAAAACTGGGGCTGAAGTTAGGATAACTTTAAGCTGATCCATCGCTGTTTGAGCTTCTGTTGTCCATTCAAACTTTCTCTTTTTCGACAGAACTTCTGTAATTGGGCAAGTGAGGTCAGAAAAGTTATGAATGAATCGGCGATACCATCCGCAAACACCTAAAAAGCCACGAACCTGTTTTAAGTTCTTAGGAGGGGGCCAATTTACGATACACGAAATCTTCTCTGGATCCGTACAAATTCCTCCACTACCAATGACATACCCGAGATAATTCACACTGGTTACACAAAAGCTACTTTTAGCAATATTAAGAGTAAGATTAGCTTTCTTAAACTCTTGAGCTAAACGAACTAGTACAGCAATATGCGACGAAAAATCTTCCGAAACGATGCATAAGTCATCAAGGTATCCAAAAACGCAGTAACGAAGATCTGGCGGTATAACACTGTCCATCAGGCGACACATGGTTGAAGGAGCATTACACAATCCAAAAGGCATAACCTTGAATTGATATAGCGGCCTTCCCGGTACGGTGAATGCTGTCAGATGCTTCGACTCTTCCGAAAGTTCGATTTGCCAATACGCATCTTTTAGATCTAACTTCGAAATGATGTTGGCCTTGGGTAAACGAGCAAAAATACCGTCGATGCTGGGCAAAGGGTAAGCATCTTTCTTGGTAGCATCATTGAGTCGACGAGCGTCTAAACAAAGGCGAACTTTGTTTGGTTTGACAACCAAACGCATCGGCGAGCTCCAAGGACTTGTTGAGGGCTCAATCACATCTAATTCTAGCATGCGATCAATTTCGGCATAAAGCAATTTCTCAACAGCTGGGCTAACAGGATAAAATCGCTGTTTGACTGGCCTAGCATCACCAACTTCAATATGATGTTGTATCAGACTAGTACGGCCAAGACCTTCTGCACAATTGGGAAAAAGCTGTTTTATAACTTCTAGCTGTTGTCGTTGTGATAGCGTTAAGGGGTATGAATTGGGAGCAACAGGCTCTTCTACCTCCTCTAATATGCTAATCACATTTGGCGCGAGTGCAAAAACTCTCCAAAAATCTATTCCAAGTATCAGTCTCTGCTTGATAGAGGGGATAATGTAAAGCTGTAAGGGCTTTTGCTGGTTCTTGTAGGTCAGGTTAACGTTCAACACGCCTATGACGTCTTGTGAACTGCCATCAGCTGTTTGTACGTGAGATTTGATGGGTTTAAATTCCGGAAAAACAGTAAAATCTTGATTTGCAAGCGAAGAACCTATGCAACTGATATTCGCGCCAGTGTCTAGTAAACCATTTTCTTCAAAATCCAAAAAAGTGACTGAGACGTAGCTGCGAAAATCAGATGGTTTGCCAAAGATAGAAGAAACTAGCCAATGACGAGTTTGTTGTAATTGTTTAAAGTATCTTTTAGTCCTTAAGGTACTATTTTTCGGAAGACGGGGCTCTTCATCTAGAATTCTTTCCCTTATCTCAAAATAAGTCTTCAGTCTGTCCTCATAGGGAGTATCTGAGGGGCTGGTATTCGCAGGAGTAATCTCAACAGGGTCTCGTGGTACAATTTTCGAAACAGGTTGCAAAAGTTGAGAAATACAGCTGTTTGAATTCAAAATTAGTTCTGATTTAGTTTCGGGGGCAACCTGCTGTTGTTGGTTGCGCCCTTCTGGCGGTTTTCCGATGCTTTCCGCAAACAATTTTGACACTGAGGCTTGTATATGTTTGGGGCTCCACATCCGTAGCAAAAAATACGTCGATCAGACAGACAATCTTCCCAGAAATGACCAGAAACCTCACAATTCCAACATTTGGTATTTGGGCCTGCTTGTCGCAGAGCAGCGATCTCACTAATAGGGTCTACGTCTGTCTCGAACTCTAAATCTGAAGAAAAATCTTCCATGGCGTATACTTGTTTTTGAGAAGACAACTTTGGCTTCGCCACTCCTTCTGAGACTGTTTTTAATTCCTGAATGAGATTCTCATTCATTTGCACGAGCCTACGCAAATGTCCAATTGAGTGAACCGACTCAAACAACAATTTGCGTCTATGTACTGGTAGCAAATTATTTTTCAGGGTCTCTATCAACTCTTCTTCATTCATTTTAACTCCTGATCTATCCATCAACGAAGCTACTGCATCATAAAAAGTGGTAAAAGGCTCACCAACCTTTTGTTTGCGAGAACGGATTTGTTCCTTGCTCATAAATTCTGAGCGATAATCATTGAACTGTTGTCGTAGGGCAGTACAGAATTCTACCCAAGAAATGTGAGTTACTTGCTTATGGTATCTCCAATACCAATCACGTGCTTTACCTACAAATAGGACATGCATGTGCTTACATAAAGCACGAAAATCACTTTCTAATGTCTCATCAGTTAAGGCTTTCACTCGATAAATGAATTCTTCGACACTAAGACCATTTTCCGATCCATTAAATGTTAAATTCCATTTCTGCATAATATCGGCAATCCTACTAGCATTCACTGACGATTGACTAGGAAAAGAACCTTCACGAGAAACTGGACTTGTAACTACTTCGGCAACTTGGCTAATCTGAGGATTTACATTCAATTGTGATAGGACTCTAGTCAAAGTTTGTTCAATCATGCCTTGAATAACCGTATAATCCGGTCCATTATTCCTTCGTGGATTTGTCGGACGACCTCGTCGTCTCTGCGCATGTTGTCGGGATTCCACGGCATCACTAGGGTTTGTAGTATGACTGGCTTCTAATAATTCTGATTGTGCTGCACTATTGTTTAATGGCACCACTTGAGGGGGATTTGTTTGGGCTGTTACTGGTAATTGTGGTATATTTAAAGCTTTTGTCAATTTCCTTGTCACTGGGCGGCGAGTCATAGCAGAGGTAGAAGGACCAGCGCGTTCTGCGCGAGGTGAACAATTTCCTACTACTAATCTATACGATCCGGCTTCCAAAGTTAATT